AAATGTTCACGCAAAGAAAGAAGGTGTAACTTTTATTCTCGCTGTAGTATTGTTGCTGCCGCCATGTCGTGAAGGTGCTGTGTGTTTCGTTGTGAAAGCGAAACTACTTTGTTTGGCCTTCCAAAAGAGGACGATATCCGCTTCGTCATGCCTGGAGCTGATCCGTGCTGGTCGCTGAGGAACTACATCAACTTCGCGCTGTGGATCGCCGGATCGGCTTTCACCGTGGACGAAGCGGAGTCCAGCATGGGGTCGCCCGTGAAAGCGAAACTACTTTGTTTGGCCTTCCAAAAGAGGACACGACTAGAAATCAGTGGTTAAGTTGTATTTACAACACTGTTCCAGAACACTTCAACCCAAATATTCAGATGTGTGCAGCACATTTTATGGAGGACTGTTTACTGATCCTGGGAGAGTAACGTTAGACTAAAATGCCAGCAGTTCTGACTCACGTAAGTACGTTTTCATTTAAAGGATTTGCCACTGATGATTCAAACGCGAGTTTTGAGCAGTGTAGAGTAGCGCTTGTTGTTTGTCATTTCTCCGATCACAAATGCAGACATGGTTTTATGTTTACGCGGCGCAATGCAACGCAACGCGTAAAAAGACAGTATAAGTCATTATAATAAGTAATTATGTCCCCACTGGATGCAACAAATGCCTCGTTTATAATGGGTTTTAATGTTTTTGTCTCGTCGCTCCGGCCGGACACGGCATCAACAGTATGGTGAGGGGCGTAACATTTCCGGCTCACGCTTGAGGTATTCGGCCAATCACAACGCACTGGATAGCTGGCCAATCACAGCACACCTCGCTTTTTCAGACCGATGAGCTTTGTAAAAATCGACGCGTTTCAAAAAGGCGGGGCATAGAGGAGAAACAATAATGTACAGTATGTGGAAAATAATGTGTTTTTTGAACCTTAAACTGCATAAACACATTTCATTACACCAAATATACAAAATAATGTTCTTTTTAGCAACATCATATGACCCCTTTAATATAATACAACATTATCTTTATTCAATTATTTTTATGTATTGAATTAATTGCATTTATAATCAACAATATTCCTGTTTCATCTGTCATCTTGAATGGATTTTGTTCATTTCAGGAAAAGAGAGAGAGAAAAAAAAGGCTAAAGATTAATACATGCCCTGCTGGTCTGTTTAAATTAAAGACAGGACTGTTAATAGTCCAACCTACAAAGACAAACAAGAGTCACAGAATTGATCACTGTCTGGCACCACACACACACACACACACACACACACACTTATGTCATCTGTTTTACGTGCATAGAGTCAACATACAGCATTGTCAAGAGAGAGCCTCTGCATTAGGTTTTGCCTACATTATAGAAACCAAGTGCGCACAAAAATAAAAGTAGCCTGCAATCGGTCTAAATATGCGTGCTAAGTAATGTGTTAGAAAATCCAAGAAAATTTAAAAAGATTTCTGTGAGGGTTAGCGGATAGAAAACACAACTAGCTCATTATGAAACCAACTGAACTCAATGGAAAGTCCCCACCATGACCGAAAACAAATGTGTTTATGCTCTGGAAAGCTGTGAAGTTGCCAACACATGATCCAGGCCGAAAGTGTTTGGATTTTGATAGGATTTATATTACAACCTTTAAAGGGGTCATATGATGCTATTTTAAAGATCATTATTTGGTGTATTTGGTGTCAATACCTGAAAGACTAAAGATATATAATTTGATTATGTATTCATATTAATTTTGATCAATGTAGTTAATGAATGAAACATCATATATTTTGATAGGATTTATATGCAAAACATTTAATAACAATACCTGTATTGCTAAAAATACATAATCTGATCATTTATATTCATTTTGGATGGATTGTGGAAAGAAGTTGTTGCAGTCTGGCTGTGAGGGCCCAAATGATTGGGTACCTTTTTCCAGATGGCAGGAGTGTGAAGAGTGTGTGTGATCGGCCACAATGCTGGTGATTTGTGGATGCAGCGTGTTGTGTTAAGGTCTCTGGAATCTTGCACATTTTTGATGAGATTTTGACATGAAAAAAGCATAACACACATTAGCTTATCTCAACTTTGACAAAGTCAATAACAAACTTAAAATGCTCTAGAGTAATGTAACATAAACCCACAAACAAGAACTGTAATAGAACAAAGCATTAATTATATTAAAAAGAATAAATTCAAAACATAAAGTGGCTTCATCACAAAGCCCATTTCCAACACCCAATCTAAAACGTAATCGAATCGTCCGCATAAAAATACTGAAAACAATAAAAGATAACAACTACTTTAACCTTCAGTAGTCAAATGTGAAAGACATGCACATAATCGATATTTATAAGATAACCACTTAACTTAATATATAAATTAATAGTTCACCACATAAAAGACACTTTCGGCCTGGTTCGTGTGGCCTGAAAAGTGTAGCAGGATACTATTGTATTGCTTTGCTGCTAAACATCTTTTAGAATGAATCATGTCATTCGCTGGTGATATTACACTATTATAATCCAAGACAAATATCCGTAATAGGTTGGACTGTTTGCTGAAACTTCATCATAAGATCAAATACAGCTCTATTGCGATGGGTTTTTTATGATTATGACTGTGAAGTGAAATCGGCTGGTTAAGAAATACATCATTTGAATGTCACAGTTTAATAGAGATTTATAGGTAGTTACTAATTTGCTAATTACCTGAGTGTCTCTGTTGACATTTATGGCAGTTTTTATGAGTTGTGATTTACTATCCCCATTCATGCATATTATTGAACTTTTATTTTATATCAAGGTCAAATGATTGAAACCAAAAGGTCATTCATTGGCAGCTGCACTGATCTGAGACAAAGAGATACAATCATTCTAGTGGATTATTATATTAAAGGGGTCATATGATGCGATTTCAAGTTTTCCTTTCTCTTTGGAGTGTTACAAGCTGATTGTGCGAGAGAGAGCGAGATAGAGAGAGAGCGCGAGAGAGAAAGAGAGAGAGAGAGAGAGAGAGAGAGCGCGAGAGAGAGAGAAAGAGAGAGAGAGAGAGCGCAAGAGAGAGAGAGAGAGGGAGAGAGAGAGAGAGAGAGAGAGAGAGAGCGCGAGAGAGCGGCCAATCACAGTGCACTGGGTCAGCTGGCCAATCAGAGCGGACTGCGCTTGTCAAAGGAGGGGGCTTTGTAGAAAACGAAGCGTTTGAGAGAGGCGGGGCACAGAGGACCTACAATAATGTACAGTATTTGAAAAATAATGTGTTTTTTGAACATTAAAGCATGTCAACATATTCTGTTACACCAAATACACAAAATAATGATCTTTAAAAAAGCATCATATGACCCCTTTAAACACCCTGTAAGACAGAGCTTTATACTTGTATGGACTCCAGCAAATATACACAATGCGACAATGTGGCCCTCTAGTGGAGAAATGCGGTATTCAAATCATTCGTATGCGGGACCTTTTGAAATGTAAAAAATTCGTTGTAATTTAAAGAATCATTATAAAAGGGTAAACCAGACATTCAGAAATAACTTAGCAAAGAAATATCATCATGCCTGACAGAATGGGAATAAACAGCTAATGTCAGTCACTGGTGAGGGAGTGAAAATTTGTGTACAAATTTCAGGTTCATTTTGATATATTTAACCCTCTTTAAATTTTATCAGACGGGATGAAATGTTAGACAAAGTGAGACAAAGCAACTAATAACCGAAAACATCACAGAGCTGATTAAACCCTTCGCTTACTTACTGATGTTTGTGTTGTGGACTCTTTTCAGTGGAAAGTAGCTAAAGCCCGCTTGAAAAGTCGCTGAATGACGTCATACGCTAATTAGCATATTCACGACGTCATTGCGTCGCATTGCCGTTTACATTTGTTTGCCTCTGTGCTATACTGTATTTTAATGCATCCAAATTCTCAATAAAACTTTTTTCATGGATACACACACACACACACATATAGTCATAAACACTGACAGCCACTCCAGTCAGTTACACCTAATTACATGAATATGTTTGTGAGTATATGAAGAAAGAGAGAGAAGTGGAGGAAGGACATGCATTCTATTTACCCAAATTTTATTCAAACCTGTCAATGTAGTTATGGTGTTTATTGAGAATGTTTTCATCTGAATTAATTGATTTGGTCCAGCTAATTCACTGTACTAGCTTCACAGGAAGTCCGGTGCACTCTAGTGTGCATAAAGAAATACTACACAATAATACACTGATTTGATTAATGAGGATGAAGAAATAAACAGCTGTTAGACTACAGCTCTCATATAATGTAATGCCTTTGGTTTTTACTTAGAGCTGCACATTGAGACATTTCCCTTTACTCAGAAATACAATTGAGATACAATAAATTGGCAGTGTGACCGAGTATGCGCTCTTTAAAAAAAAAAAGTCAAATGCAGTTAAATTTTACCTTAACTTTGTATTCTATTATTTAAATGTACAATATACCAGGGACATCAGCATTGATTCAACAGTTAAATCAGCATAGAAAGCGTAAAGGTGAAGTGTGTCACTTCTGAACCATTAGTGGTATAAAATGGAAAAGTTACCAGTTTGAGAAGCCAGTAACCAATGATGTGGGTTTGACCAATGAAAGATGGACATGTGTTTGACACAATTGACAGTGATCAATATTTTTTTCAATTCTGTTTAGTGCTGCTGTTGGCACAGAAATGATACACTTGGCCTTTAATTACCAGATGTTAATTGGAGGCTGGTACAATAGCAAAGGGTGAATACATGGATATGTGCTAGTATGGATTAAGTCTCGCTGAATGCACTCAAAACATACAAGAACAGGTACAAACAAACAGACACCTACTCAGTGTCGCATCTACAATCCCTCCCAGAACCAAAAGTGACGCTAACAGAGGAGTCTTTACTGGAATAGTGAATTATGATTATAACTGCAAATTTACAGACCTGCATAAACATGATTTACAAAGATATGCAACAACAACAAAGAACAAAAAAAAAAGGGGTTACTCATTTCTAGAAGAGAGAAAATTAAAGCGACAGAGACAAAAAATAAAGTGTTGAGAATTTTGGAGATATAGATGAAATGCTTAGACCCTCTGTTTATTACAAACTGACATCATATGATAATATTGCAGCATGGAGCTTTCTTCTGGCTATAG